TGTTATCCCTAGAATACCCTTCTCCCGATATTGAAGGCATCTCCTTCCTCTTACAGTGATCACAATTGGAAAAACTCAGTATAAAGAGCACAATTTCAGACTTACCGAAGCTGTTGCAGGCCTGAAAAACCCTTGTAACAGAACTGAAATCAAGAACACTCCACTTCTGTACAGTGCTGAACTCTTCTGGACTGGACTGGACTTTGATTTCTGCTGTAATAAACTGTGACCAACTGTACGAACCAAACTAGGACTGTCAAAGTCAGCCTTTCCACCTAGATCTGTCCACACAGATCTCTCTTAGCAGCCGAATGGCTACTACCTACTGTAAGGTGTCTAGTAGGGCATCGATTTCTGGAGCAAACTCCCCTTGGGCCCTACAACCAAGGGAAACCCTAGATACAGACCCTGCTGTGCTCTACGGTCAGCCCTAGGGTTTCTTCACAGCGACAAGTCAGAAAAGAGAAAGGAAAAGAAGTCGAAGAAGAGGGAGAAGAAGAAGAAAAGAAAAAGATCTGAGAGAGGCGGCCTCGACTCTTCAGCCGACCCAACAAGTTTATATAGATGATTATAAAAATTACATGAACAGACTAGAATGTCCCTGATTAGTGATGGGACACCTAGACAAATAAAACAATTAAAACATTAAACATATTTGGGCCCAATAACTAAAGGCCCAATAACTTAAGAACATAAGACACAAATAAGACTAACTTAAACACTAATAACAGCCGAACCAACAATAACATCCCTCCATTCAGGTTTAGATAAGGCTTCCGGTACGGACCTGGGTATCACATGGGAAGAAACAAAAGCAAGAAAAGAGTAGTTGGAAGGAGAGAGAAGGCTTTAAGACAGGTGTTTGGAGATACAATGGGTTGTACACTTCTGTTTGCCCTTGCGGAGAGCAATAAGAAGGTCAAGGTCTGGGAAAGATGTAAATGGGTCAGAAGAAGGCTGACCTGTTACCTCAGTAATGATGGGAGGAGAAAGAGGCTCTTCTGTAGGAGTGGAAACAACCTGTCCATGTCTGAATCTGTGCCTTTGGTACAACCTTTGGAGAACAGGATGAGGAGGAATTATAGGAGAATGAGGTGGAGGAGGAGGAACAAGAATATCGGAGATGGGTCCAATGGGAGAAGTAGACACCTCATGAGAGGACACAAGAGGAATGGGAAGATGAACAGTTGGAGACATAGCAAAGGGCTCTTCAGATTTCTCCCCCTTAGGAGAAATACTAAAGAAAGGAGTCAACTCAGCAAATGTGACATCCCGAGATACAAAGTGGGTGCCACTAATTAGATCAAAACAGCAATATCCCTTCTGTGTGGAAGCATATCCCAGAAAAACACATTTACGAGCCTTAGGTTCAAATTTGTGCCTTTAATGGCTGTGAACATGCACATAGCAAGTGCACCCAAAAACACGGAGAGGAAGAGAAAAAATATCCTCATCCAGGAAGAGAAGGCTAAAGGGGGTTTTGAAGTTAAGAACCTGGGAGGGCATACAGTTGATCAAAAAGGTAGCAGTAAGAACAACATCTCCCCAACATTTTATAGGAACATGGGATGCAAACAGTAGGGATCTGGCAACTTCAACCACATATCTGTTCTTCCTTTCCGCCACTCCGTTCTGTTGTGGAGTGTAGGAACAAGAACTTTGATGAATAACCCCAAAAGTTTCAAGATAGGCTGAGAGGGTTTTCTGGGTGAAGATGAGTTCATGAAATTTTTGCACAATAGCTGGTACTTCATCCCTGGATTTCATGAGATAAATCCAAGTGTAACGAGAGTAATCATCAATAAAAAGGATAAAGTACCTGTAACCCCCCATAGTTGGCAAATGATATGGCCCCCACACGTCAGAGTGAACAATATGAAAAGGAGAAAGAGATCTTTTATTGCTTACTGAATAAGAATGTTACAATGCTTTGCCAGTTCACACGACTCACAATGAAGACTCGATAAAGACACTCCCTTAAACATATCTGGAAACAAATGACTCAAAGAAGAAAAAGACAAATGACCAAACCGAAAGTGACATAGCAAGACTTTGTCAATAGACTCTGACAAAACTGACTCTAAGGCAACTCCATGAGGTGGTCCAAAAGCTATATCCGGTGTGTCCAGCAAGTATATTCCATTGGCCTCATGGCCACTCCCAATCATCCTCTGAGATTGCAAGTCCTGAAAAACACAATGAGTGGGAAAAAAGGTTATGCCACAATTCATGGATTTAGTTAAGCTGCTAACAAATAAAAGGTTTGTATTCTGTTTAGGGACATGAATGACAGAAGATAAATAAAGGGTGTCAGAGGTCTTTATATATCCCCTTTACCAGAGATGGGAGCAAGAGACCCATTAGCAAGGGATATTTTCTCTTTGCCAGAGAGAAGGTTGTATGAGCAAAAGAGATTAGATAGGCTGGTCATATGGTCTGATGCAYCGGAATCAATAATCCAAGGGATTTTATGATTACTTGAAACTGAAGCATGATTTGCAGAAGCACGAATACCTTAGTGAGCAATAGCAGATGAAGATGATGTGTTGCTGGAAGAGTGAGATGAAGAAACAGTAGCTTCCAAGTGATTTAGCAGCCTCCCATACTTTTCACAATCCGCCTTCATTTATTCCCACTGCTCATTGGTTGATTTTTCTTCACTCTCCATATTTCCTCCTTCAGGTACTGTAGCAACATTAGCTGTCTTATGCTTTCCTACCTAACTGCCCTTCTTGGAGCTGTTGTTATTCTTAAACCTATCAGGAAGAAGCTCAGGATGAAGCTTCCAACAAGTGTCCTTTGTATGCCTCGGTTTCTTGCAATATTCACATATCTGTTCCTTTTTCTCAGTAGAACCCTATGGCTTTATTCCTGCATGTGCAAAGTATTCTGTAGGTGGACTCTGCAACTGAACCTGCCACCTACTCTCCTTACTGCTTATCATAGCATATGCTTGGGAAAGAGTAACCTAATCTTTGGCCAGGATATTTTGCCTAATGATGTCAAACTCAGGGTTGAGTCCAGTGAGAAATTCAAGCACCCTATTTCTCTCCACCAACTTCCTATACATTTTAGCATCATTCTTACTCTTCCATACAACTGTTTCCATAACATCAATTTCTTGCCATAGGGATTCAGTATAGAGTAGTAGATTGCTACACTCTTCTCCCCCTGTCTTAGGTTCTTCACGTCACTTTTCAACTTGTAGACTCTGGCTACATTCAACTTCTGTGAATAGGTCTNTTTTCAACTTGTAGACTCTGGCTACATTCAACTTCTGTGAATAGGTCTYAGTAACACTGTCYCRTATCTCCTTAGCCGAAGACATCCAGAGATAATGTTGACTTATATGAGGTTGCATAGAGTTGACCAACCATCCAATGACAGTATAGTTCTACATCCATTTCTCAAATTCAGGGTTTGTCTCTTCGGGTTTCACTTTACTACCTGTGAGATACCCGAGTTTTCCTCTGGCTACAGACATAAATTCTTATAGACTGTGCCCAAGCAAGATAATTTGTCCCATCTAGCTTGATTGTGGTCACACCAGTCAAAATGGAATCTACCAAGCCAAGGCTGGAAACCGGCACTTGCTTGAAGTCACTTCCGTATGGCTCCATTAATCATACGAAAATCAAAGAACCAGAAATTTGGTCTATATAAACTTACTTGAAGTCAAACCAGAACCCAGATGCTTGAAAACTAGGGTTTTACTCCGTCCAACTGTTGAGGAGGAAGAGAGAAGATGCAGCCGCTCCTACCAGAGCTTCCCAATCTCTTCCAAATCTGAACCACCCTCCTTTAGGAGTCAAAAGACACCTCCCAAGCACAGAGTGCCACACCCAAAGCTTCACCTTTACTTGTGCCTTCGAAAATCTCTAGTCGGCTAAGCTTTTGGGCAGCAACAGAACAACACCACTTCTTGGCAATATCCAGTCAGATTTAAACTCTCCAAACCCTCTACCAACTAGGCCAGAGATCCTCTGAGCCATAGAGAACCTATCTCTCCATACACTCTCTTAATCTAAGGGTGTATGGGAAAAGAGGAAGAAGAAAAAAAGGAAGAAAGAGGCCTTCTCTGATAACAAGATGTAAATCAGTCCTCAAAAATTAGGTGTAAATTTGAAAATTAGAGAGAAAAAGGAAGAAGAAAAGTAAGAGCAGCAATACAAGAGAAGAAGATAGCGAAAAGAGGAGGAAGAAGAAGAAAKGTTCAAATTATTCTTCCCTTTCTTCTCTAATCCTTTTTATTAAGAATTAATGTTAAGGTAATTACAAGTATGCCCTTAAGTGGGTGGCCAGCTAGCAGTAACATAAAGAGATCAAACGAAAAGGAATAACAGGCCCATTAAGAGAGGCCCATTAGCTAACAAGAAAAAGAAAAGATATTACAAGAGAAGATACTAGGACCCATTCGGCCCAGTCTCTTTACACTGCATCAACCATAAACAAGGTGGCCATTCATATATTGTTTACTTACATGCCTATGATAACATATTTATTTCATTTAGGAGCGACAATGGGTTGGGTTCAGTACGATATGGGTTAGAGGCAACCTAAAGTTCACCTGATTGGCCATTCAACACTAACCCACAATGTTTTTGGATAAAGAGTTGACAGAAATTCAAAGAATTGACAAAAAGAGAAAAATGCTTCAAAACCATAGAAGCTATTGAACCAAGTCTTTTTTTGGGGATGGTGAAACCTAAATGCAACCCAGATCATCATGTGGTAAGTTCATCTATCCCTAACCTAATTAGGAGCATATAAAACTTGCACCAATTGAGGCAGTTTACCCAATTAACCCACCCCAGTGTAATTCCTAGTTTCATCCCCATTCCATTGGACTCCAGAAGTGAATAGTATGAAAAGCAAGAAACATTTGCCTGTTCTGATGTAATGCATGTGACGTTGATTTAGTTCTTTACCAATATAGTAACTACACCAATTACTACATGCTCTCTCTATTCAACCAAGAAATCACAAAGAATGAGTTTGACCTTCACTATCTCGTGCATTCTTTCACCGGCAGTAAATGATGATTCACCTGGAAAGTTTGAAGTATTAGATACTTAAAATAGAACAAATTCTAAGTCCTCCAATTTGGAGTGTAAAGAAATAGCATTGCACTAAGATGTATTACACACTTTCTTTCATGCACAGAAATAAATAATTAATTAATATTGTTCAATCCAACCTTCAGAAGACCACTTTTGAGATGGCAAGAGAATGGACTTCGGCTCTTTTCTAGGGGACGAGGATTCCATTGCTACAATTAGAAATCACATGTTAATTATTATCAAAAATGAACCATCAGTTAACAATTTGCTTTCAATGATCACATCGAACAGAAGCAGAAGCAAATACCTTTTTTGCACTTCTTCCACTCATCACCAATAACTGTTAGAAGTAAATCCGGCCAGATTCCTCTGATTTCTTTGACAAGAGCATTGGTACAGTTCTTGTAGGAGTCCTACATACAATGAAGTTAACAAGTTATTCTATAGCATTACAGATCACCCCAACTAGAGAAGAAAATATCACTTCAAGTCTTCGACTAAAATACAAGAGTAAGAGAATGGATAGATATAAATGTTGAAATTGATAGGCTATCCATAGTATATGCAGGATATGAAACATATATGCAACTTCTATGAATGAGAATAATGTGCATAGCTCGATTAAGACAAATTTCATCAAAAATCAGGAGAATAAAACCGAAAATAGAAAGTGAAAAAGAAACAAGCTACAGATTTCATAAAAAATGAGTATAGACCAAAACCAAAACAGATTCAATAATGTAGTAGGCTCACTATCAGCATGCTTTAGATTCTATCATTCTAGGCATGTATACACCATGGAAAGGAATCAAGCATATAAAGGCGAAATCCATTAAAGTCCATCCATCCACTTCCAACTTTCTTTCCTTTTTTTTTCCTATTGAAACTTGGCCATGATATCAAGAGATCATAAAATGTCACTTCAAATATCCACCTTTTTTAATTCAGTTGAACTACAGGAACAATAAAACAGACAAAAAAAAAAAGAGGACGAATGGAATGGCATGAATTGATCTTAAATAAAAGTTACATATAATATAAACAGTTGAATTACATCAATACCCCTATCACTCCAATTAATTACACTCTTTGAAATAACACTTGATAGACTCAATTACCCCTAAACCCCAAGTTCAACATAAATATCATACGCACCCCAACTTGCCTATATTATGCTCTAACTTAGGTTTAGGACTGCTATTCAAACAATCAGCCAACTGATTCTCCAATCTCATAAAGGGTAAGCACACTTCTCCACTTTTGGTATATCCCCTATGCCTATCTACCTCGATATGATTTGTTATGTTGCGCCGTACAAGATTCTGAACAATGTTGATGGAAGCTTCAAGCTTGATGTCACAATATAACCTCATAGGCCTCTCAAACTGAAAACCAATTTCAATTTTTGAAGTCTTCAGCCATAATAATTCACAAACAAACTACTAGTTTTTTTCTATAGCTCTATAGTCAAATTCAGTACTAGAACAAACTACTACTAGTTTACTTCTCACTCCTTCAGGAGACCAAGTTTCCTCTCACAAATGCACAATAACCTGTAGTGTGAACCATCAATAGATCCAGCCCAATCAATGTTAATATATGCCACCACCTTATTATGCCCAAGGTTGGAATGAAGTGTCAGTGCCAGATCGTTAGACTAAAGAAGAAGAAAAACAGTTGTTGGGTGTGTCCAAAGTGACAGTTGGCACCCAGAAAAGAATATTTATATTAAAATAACAAAAGGACCATTCTGTCCTCAAGATACAAATAATGTACAAAAGAATAAGAAACAATCTAAGTACAAAAAAGGCATAAAAAGATAAAATTAACTCTTAGCTCTCATTGTCTCTACACTCCCCCTCAAACTGATGACTAGGAATCAGCATCAGTTTGTCCATAAGAAATGTGTGTCAGGCTTGAGTCATAGATTTCAACAAGTCAGCAAGTTGGAGTCCTGAGGACACATGTGGAAGAGAAATAAGGTCCGCAAGGAGGAGGCCTCAAATAAAATGGCAATCAACTTCAATGTGCTTTATGCGCTCATGAAGAACAGGATTGGAAGCATTCTTGATGGCACTGAGATTATTTGCAAGGAGAGGAGCTAAAGGTGGAAACTCATGTAGAAGAGCCCTAACCAGATAATCTCATACACGTAGAGGACATGGCCCTATAGTAAGCTTCAGTAGATGATGAGAACAAATAGACCATGAGATAAGGTCCCCCTCACATATCTGATGATTCTGTAAACTGATAGATGTGGTTATCGTGAGACGACACAAACTGGCTCACAATCTGCATTGTGTTGAGGATTTTATGCAAATTTGTGCAGATTTGTTAGTTAATTTTGTTTATTATTTGTTTAGATAGGAAGTGGGGACCACAGCACACTTGTTGGGAACCTTTGGAGTGATGTTTTTAAGTATTTTATGCAGTTTTTGGTGTTAGCCGCTGCAATGGAGAGGGCGGCCAGATCTAATTTTCTCTCTTTCTTTCTCAACTTCTTCTCTTCTCTCTCTTCTTCCACAAGAAACACTTTTCTTTTCTTCTTTCAGTTTTTTTGATTCTGCAGATTTCTACTGATTGCATATGATATATCTGGTTGAGTCAAAGTAACGTAAATTAAGTTGCCTATCAAGTAGTGATAGCAATGTTTTTCAACCCATTGTTGACCTGGACAGTTCAACCATCCAAATCATCACCCAACCATGATTTTGGGCCCGGTTTGGATAAAACCCGGGATTTTCTCAAAGCCCGTCAACTTGATCAAAAACTATCCAATCAGGGTGGTTGAACCATTGACTTGGTCACAGGTTGCACATTCAATGCATGTGCAAACTTTGGAAGGCCATAACTTTGTGCTCAGATGTCTGATTGGGGCATTTTTTTATTTTGGGTAATTTTTCAAACCTATGCGTCCCAAGGAGCCACTTTGCCTTGTTATTTTCACCAAAAAGACCTTTCTTTGGCCTAAAATTGCAATTTTGAGCATTTTTTTACGAATAAAACAGTTCGGGAACAAATCAATTAGGCTCAATTCGAGTTCTATGCTAATCGAATTCAAATCTCAGTATAAGTTTGATTAGTCTTTCGAACTCAAATTCGACCAATAAAATATTTGGCTTAAAAGCTTGCAAGTTTAAATTTGAGCAAAATAACATTGCTTCATTTTGAATCAAGAAGTCTTCACTGGCTTGCTGCCTTTCAACCTCTCCCTTTCCCTCTTGCAAGTTCGAACTTGCAAGCTCAATTAGTTTTGCCAGCTCTCAAGTCAAACTCCAAACATACCGAATATTTAATCAAATTGAACTCGAACAAGAAAATAGAGTTCGACTCAAACTTGAAATTGAATTCGAATATAGGAGTACTTTAGTCAAACGAGCCAAGCTGAAGTATAAAAGGACTTCTATTGCCTTTGCAATAGTACAAAGAACAGACAGAAGAAATTGCATAAGCATAGGCAGAATGTGGTAATAGTGCATCATAGAATACAAAATCAGAGATGGGATAAACAATACAAGAAGAAGAATAAAAGGACTTGGAATATTGTTTCTTTCCTTTATGAACAGAAATTGGTAAGTAAGATCAAAAGGAACATGAGAAGAGCCAATAATAAGAGAAGGCTGTTACTTGAATCAGGAGCTTCGAATTGGGGTTGAGGATCCATCTCTAATGTTATCTTCCTAAATCTAGATAACACGTGCAAATTTGGCACAGCAAGGAGAGTCAGGATTTTGGAACTGACAAATCTATGACTGTGACAGGAATAGGAAAACAAAAAGAACTCTCTTCACTAATCAGGATACAAATCATGGAAAAAAACACAGCCAAAAACTTTAAAAGGCAAATGAAAAGGTGGTTCATCCAGACACAAGCTGTTTTGGGGACTGAAACTGCAGCACTCACAATGGCAACTTATTGATCAAATAGACTACAGTGAGAACTGAAGCATTACAGTGACTCCCTGATACTGATCTGCATCTACAGTCTCCCTCCATTTAAGAGCCTATAAACGGTCCATCTTCTCCCATATAGACTCTAAGGAAGAAAAGTACATATTGACGAACCTATCCCCTTGTCTCATACTACTGGCCTCCCTCCTTAATTAACAAATCTGGGTGATGTTACAACCCTAAGAATAGGTAGCACTAACCCCATCCCAGATATCTTTGGCTGTAGACAAGAAAATATAATTTTCTCACAATATGGAACTATATCAAACAAATCAACCATGATATGATTAACAAACCATCCTACTCGACTCCCATCAAGAATATGTTGGATCATCCACCTAAAATCTAGTTTCTTTCTCAATAAGGTACTCTAACTTCCCTTAGCCTCTAATAGATAGTTTTTCCAATCTTCCCAATACAGGAACCACTTCGAGGGGGTTCACCTCCAAAAGAAGAGAAAGAAGAGACAAAATATCTCTTGGCATCCCTCTCTCACTCTCCAAACTACTATTTATAATATCTTATTACAATTATTACCCACTACTGAGACCATACCCAATTCTGGTATCCCATGTGCAGATTCTAACCGCTTAGTCTGATGTGGCCTTCAGTCTCCTGGTGTACATGAAGCAAACTGGGTGACAGGCCTGGGCCTCCTCATGGGCCTGTATCTGTGTAGGATGCTGTTGGCCCTGCGGGCTCCCATCAATTGCCTCCCCCTCAACAGCTACCTTGTCCTCAAGGTCGAAACCGGGATAGTGTTGCTATGTGAGCAGGATTCCCAAGTTGCATCATCTAAGGGGAGCCCGGCCCATGCAATTAGAACCTGCTGGACATGTTTCTTACCCTTTTTTATCCAACGATAATCTGGTGGAGTACTGCAGACTTGAGTGTTGGGGTTGAGGCACTTCTTCAGGAGGGATACATGGACTATAGGATGCAACTTAGAAGTGGGGGGAAGGGCCAGCCAGTAAGTCTCCAAAGTCCTGTTCACCACCTCGGTTTGGCCATCTGTCTGGGGATGGTAACTGGGTTGAATAATGGAGTTCTGCCCCTTGAGCCTTGAAGTAGTCCTTCTGAAGTCCTGTTCACCACCTTGGTTTGGCTGTCTGTCTGGGGGTAGTAATTGGTTGAATAATGGAGTTCAGCCCCCTGAGCCTTGAAGTAGTCCTTCCAAAACCTGCTCATAAAGGTTGGGTCCTGATCTGTTACAATGGACATCGGGGTGCCAAGCAATTTGGCGACGTCTTGGATGAAAATCCATGCCACCTGAGATGCTGTGTAGGGGTGGGAGAGAACAGAAATATGGGCGTATTTGGTGAGCCAATCCACGACCACTAGAATATCTGACTAGGGAGGCCAATGATGAAATCCATGGTGATTTCTTCCCAGACCCTATCAGGTATGGGTAGGGGTTGCAAGAGCCCTGTAGGGGTCTGGCCTTTATACTTGTTCTGTTGGCA